CTCCTCCTCCTCCATAACGTGTGTCGAATGTGTGATTTAGCCCACCCTATGGCTTGTAGTGAATTGACTGGTGGATTCGCTGGTTACTCTCATCTCTCCTTCTCCCACTTCCCCCCCTCTCTCTCTCACATACATATACACACACGCACATCCGCGACTGTTCGACCGTCGTGACCGGGGATATCCACTGTGTGCGCCACAACAGGGTGAGAGCAGGTGAGGCGACTTTGTTGTGGCAGTAGACTTGCGCAGCGCCTGCCGCACTCACTCCTCCTCCCCAACCTGAGCCCGCAGCCGAGATATAGTCAAAATACCGGAGGCGGGAAATGCCGCAGGTGGCTGGGACGGTGAAAACCCGCCCCCAGATGTACCACCACACCCTCTGGTCCACAACAAACGCTTGGCTAGCATTTTAAACCACACTAAATATGTGGGAGGGGGCAGGGGGTAGATGGAGTCCCAGTTACCGCGGCAGGAGCCTGCCAATGGGCCTGCCGTCGCACCGCAAATGTTGGTTTTCGTGATGTGTGCACATTCCTAATAACACCTGCCGGACTTTGATATGGACCATGCGATGGTCCAGCGCGTCTACCGCGTGACTCGTTTTAGGCTCAAGGCACAGCATACACACACACCGGCTAGGTAGCAAGGTTTCGCCAAACCTTCGGGCATGCGCCGAGAATCGCAAGAGTCATACGCTACCACGTATCCACTCCAGCGTGCCATCGTTGAAACTGCTACCCGACAGTTACTGACAATGGCCTCAACTACCCCACCGTCGTTTCCGCGTGAGTCAGCATGATAAGTAGTAGGTCTGTAGCGGGCAGTCATCATGACCGGTTTGGCGTCATTGTTTTAGACCTCGCTGCCTCAAGGTCATCCAACCTTTTGCAGTGAACCGTTCCAGACGCGCTGACCTGAAGTCACACGACAAGTAGGTCGGGCACACTTGGGTCCGCACAGCCGCAGCTGTCCATGAGGCCACTTGGACGCACCACCCCCTCCCCCCTGCAACCACAACCTAAGCCATTGGGACACCGCCCTCGGAAAATACAACACACACTGACTGGACACCACCTGGGCCTACAAAAGCGGCTGCCACCACTATCTCAGGCACTCCCAGGCACGACTGGACGCAGTCAACACCAGCCCTGGCCTAGCCAGTGGCCACTACCGCCCGAGAGGACATCTCCGGGTTCTGTGCACAATCAACCCCTCATGCTGGTGCCTTCCGTCTTCTCCTTACGACTTGGTATTCGAGCTGGTAATTGTAGCTCACAGACTATACACATTCTCACTGCTGTGCAGCTACAGGTCTACGATTCCTAACTGCTCACTGATACCCACGGAACGTTAAGTACGGACACTTCGGCTTGTAGGGGAAGGCTCTGTAGGCGACAGATTGACCTGTTCGCAACCGAAGTGGTCGCTCAACGGACCGAGTGGATTGACCCAGCCTCGTGAAATAGGTAGTAAACCTTTTGAGCCCTGAGTGTGTGAGTGTGTGCACTAAGCCATGCAGCGAAGCATGTGAAGCCATTTCCGGCTTCACATGACCACTGAATACTTTTGGTCAGCCCTTCAACTTTTGGGGCTGCTGACACCAGGCTTCGCTTTCTTGCCTGCCTCGATGGTTAAACTTTTGTTTCCTCGTATGGTATTCTTAGGCAGGCAAATCGCTCTTCCCAAAGGCAGTTGACAACTTCCACCAATGGGATGTCACCTATTTTCAGCAATCCATTACAGGCTCTAAGAGAGGACGTACTGGCTTTTCCACTATACGCCCTGATGGTACGAATGCGGTATTTATTCAAACTCTCTTTTCCGGTATAGAAAGAGTACCTAAAATGACTGTTTTGGGCCGATTGCATCACTCGCCTGTCCTGCCGTAGACAACTGATGAGTTCGCAGAGGGCTAACGAAGGGAGTCATCCTCCAGAATGTTTTATAATAATAATAATAATAATTGCATTTAATGCCAGTTTCGAGGCATTGCCAGAGAAGCGTTAAACACAAATCCGGCCAGCAGTGGAAAAAACTCCTGTCAAAATAGAATAAAAAAAGTTGATCGTGTTTTTTAAGGTTTGGAGGGTTCAGGAGAAAAAAGACTGCTGACCACAGATATCATCACAGATATTAAACGGTCGATGAATCCCAGGCGTGTTCAGAGCGCTCGAAGATCACCTTCAGTTTGACGCCAGCCTTGCGCAGACAAAATGGTTTCGGTAGAGGGCGTCACCATCTGTGTAAACAGCACGTGGACAGTGCAAGGACCGACAATCACTTAGCCCGAGGCTTAACAGTTTGTACACCGAACTCACTGGCTAACCGGATCTGAATTCAGATCTAAGAGTCATAGTATGACCAACTGGCGATGAAATGTAAACAAAAGTTGGCCGATCCACTCCTCCCCAGGGCTCACAATAAAGTTGCTGTGAACTATCATAGAGTGTAGCCTATCCTCTAAGGGTGGGGGGACCTTCATACTACTCCGATGTGAAAGGTTGCTGTTTTGACGAAAACAAATAAAGCTGAAAACAAGGTAAAAATAAGAAAACGATAAAAAAACAAGAGTCAAGGTTTGTCTCAAGTGCAGGGTGGTACCTAACTACTAGACTTGTACAGTCTCCGGCCTAAAAAGAAACAACCGTCATATATTTCGCATTTTGTCGTAGACATTCGCATCTTCATCAAAGTCCATGAATGGGTGCAGTTAGAATTTGTATCGAATCGTTCAAAATGTTTCACTTGTACTTAGACATATTGTAGCAGTGGAGTTTTGATCATAAATTAAAATTGATGTCAGTTTGAATATTTATAATGTCCGATTTCTTGGAATTTGTGAACCTCTGGGAGAAGATTGTGGATTGCAGAGCATAATTTGTTTCAACTAACCATCGTACGATAGATGTCCAGTCGATCTTATCGAAGACCGCTACAATTCGAGTCAGTGGTGATAACTTGTGCATAAGTAGATAACATCGAACGAGAAGTTCACTGAAAAGGGAATTGGATAGAAAACTTCAACTTTTAATGTGCCACACCAACCAGCTACTGCATATTTAACAATTGAAGTGAGGATACCATTGTGATCTATCCATTATTTTAATGGACCCGGGTGTTCTGTTCGTCGAAAGCTTTCCCAGAGGAAACGATTTTGCTGTAAACAGAGCAGACACCGACGGCTACTTCATGACTATTATCCAGGACAGTCCGGCAAGTCGCCGAAATCCCTCTGGGTGAAGGCCCGACGAGGATAAAACGTGGAGTATCTGGAAGAGGGCGGTGAAGGGGACGCTCAGACGAAGTTTCCGTCGACGCCTAGCATTTCCCTACGAAGCCTCTGGTGATGAGGAGAAAGCAGTCTTCAAATGTTACTGCAGTATGGGTGAGAAGTGTGCAGCCTCCAAAATCGTACCTTGACGCATAAGTAGCCGTAGCAGCATCTTTTGGTTCAAAATTCTGCATCCTCCAACGCCGGCTCAGACAACTAGATTTGAAAGTCTAGCCCGGGGGCCTAACTGGTCAAACTTACAAGTATAAGTCAATGCAAATCTAAAATGCATTAAATTCGCATTAGGGGGGATTTTAGTCCCCCGCCCAGCCCCGTAGTACGAGAAGTCTGGCGTTTAATTCTAGAGGGTACCTATTTCCGTGTCTTGACTGTAATCTTTATCCTCCTGAGCTTGACGTCGACCATCCCTCCCTTGAATTCAGAGCAAGGCCCCCTGCGGCAAGTTGTGGGAGGTTCATATTTCCATGCCCAACCAATAGTTTTTATTACTAAATGAACAGGATCGGAAGAGTGATCTCTTGAGAAACTCCCTCTTCCGTAAACACAGAGAATTAAAAGGAACAGAGGTCATAAAAAGGGAATGGGTATCCTACGTAAGAGAATAAGTGTGTATCAGTCGCAGACAGGGGACATCCCAGCAGACGATAAAAGGGTAAAAGGAAATGGGGAGAAGGATCACAGGAAAAATGTCGAGAGACAACATAAAGCCACTGACGTATAGAAAACGGTGGAGATGCGATTGGCGAATAACGCAGAACTATTTTAGCGATGTAGGCGATCGACTCCAGGTGGCAGGTAGCCGTCCGTGCAGCCAAGTGTGGACATGTATTCGAGTCGAGGTCACAGGGAGAGGCGCCGATCACACGGAGAGCAGTCGCAAAAAGCTTGATTGTAAGCCGGCTGCTCAGCCAATTGCCGCACCGAGCAGCCTCCACCCCATGTAGCTTTGCGAATCTACCTGTCGCGAGACAGGCGCTGCGCGCCACAGTCTAACGGGTCAAATTCAGCCGCGGGTTGCGGACAAATGGAGTGGGACAGCCAGCTATCCGACAGTTCGACCGCCGATTTCGACGATGTCCACCGTGTGCTCCACGGCAAGGTGAGAGCAGGGACGGTGACCTGTGCTTGAATTAGTTTATGGTGATAGCAGACTTACACAGCATCTACCGTACTCTCTCCTCCTCCTCCTCCTCCTCCTCCTCCTCCTCCTCCTCCTCCTCCTCTTCCTCCTCCACCTGGACCTGGTGTCAAGACAGAGTTAAGAGGACCGGAGGCAAGAGGGAGGGCGCAGGTGGATGGCGCGGTCGATCCCGCACCTTGGCGCTCCACTCAATACCCCTTGGTCCACACAGCAAATGACCAAGTTTTTGACCAACAACAGCATTGGGGGGGGGGGGCGACAGGAGCCCAGTGTACGCGACGCCTAACGGCATCCGGGTCTGCCACCGCACCCCGAAATGTTGGCATTTGTTATGGTGTGCAAATCTGATAACCCCTGCCAACGTCCGATATGGTCCCCGTTCTGGTCCAGCGCATTTTCCACTTTGCCCGTTTGGGGGGCACCCTGAAATCTTCCCGCCTGCCATCCATTAGAGGGGGCGAGGTCATTGGCGATCCAGTGCATACGACCTGTGCTCCAACGGACAGAAACGATGCCAAGGAGAGGGGGTGGTAACGCGCATGCTCCCCCTTCCCCCTCATGGCGTATCCCAATTAGAAAGCACTGTTCCACCCCAGTAACAGTGCAATGTGCTTTTTAAGGCGAACCGGGCCTATGGAAGGTCGACTACACTGCTTGAAATGCGCTGTGGAGAATACACCTCTCTAATGAGCATTTCTTTCTCTTATGAGTGGAGAAGGCTTGTCAAAATGCAAGTTTGAACGAAGTTCCTCAGAGTAGACAGCTACCGGAAAATTGTATTTTTCCGCTACCGACCTGGGACTTTTATCATAGCCCTCGGTTATGAACGCCAACCGTGAATCTGAAATTCTTCAGTTACAAATTTTCTGCATGCTGTCTAAGGGGTACGATTAATTGAGTAGAGTCTGTCGCGCTGACTAGGTTTCACGCCTTTCCTCAAGGCCGTCCCTCTAATAGAAGAAGTGACGACGATCGCTTGCTGCTACCTGAATACCCTGAAAGGTCATCTAATGTCAGAGTTTGAGGAAGCGTTTAAATAATATAATTTTATAGTTTTAAGCAGGCTGTGCATTGGAAAATTAAAAAATCATTATGAATATGATCACTGAAGGCGATCTAATTGAGAAATGATAGTCTAAAAACTTGTGTTTTGGTGATGGTTCACCTCCTCCAGCATTAGGAAGTTCAAATTAAATTTGGATCGTGTACGAAATGACAATTTCAAACCTTTTTGGGCGTAAAATACTTTATACCTACTTTGACTTCCGAAACTTACATGAGAATCCACTAAAAGATGTTTAATTTAAAAAGCCGACGAACCTGTCGTGACTTTGTTGTATAATTAAATTCGAGAAAGTAGATGACGGAAACAGGTGGTTGTTTTTTAAGTAAATGATGAGTGGGAGACCTATGGTCTAATTTGAAGATTTCAATTGAGGGCATGAAAGGCTTGTGGATACATGGCCGATGTGCTAACTTGGCGTTCCGGTTGGTAGTTCAGAGAAAATGTTGTCACGATGCGGTCAAAATGCGCAAAGAAAGGTTTCCACACAAGTTGAAAGACTGGGGATCCGTTGGCTTTTTAAAATGGAAGGGTAGGGGACGGAAAGATGGACCCCCTATTTCAGATAGTCTGGCGTCAAAGTCCAGGGGCTAGGATGAGGGTTAGTGTTATGGTTAAGGTTGGGTCAGGTAGATCAGGATAAGTGTTAGGGTTGAAGTTGAGATGCGGGAAGAGAAAACCCTAGAGTCAGCGCAACGTCTTCGGGATTTGCCCATGAGTTGGGTAATTACCCCTTCGATTCAGGATGCATGAATGGCAATGAACTCCTGAATTTGTATTCCGAACAGGTGTCCGATTTCGAGATCACGAAAGAGGTGAAGAAAAATTAAACAGTCTTCAACTTATCCTTCTGGCTGGACGTCGAATTTTGTCAATCAGAAACACATGGAGAACACAGAGAATGCAGGTAAGCGAATGCAGAACCCTCATTAATTACGTGAGTCTGGTAGCCATCTGGGGGATTCCACAGTGATTACTTAGGAAATCCTTCTTGGGCAGTCATCTCACTGCATCAGATCTAGTGACCTCAATACGTTGCAGTAGGCTGGGCTGGTAGAGTGACTAAGATGCGCTTAAATTTACGGCCCCAGTGGGACCTCGCAGATCAGGTGGCCTTAGCTGTGGTCAAGCCCCATCTTTGCTGTCGTGTTTTCGAATTTCACCGAGTTTCCCGTGTTTTCCATAGTTGGGTCAAATAAATTATTCGAAATCTGCCAAAGCCCCTACTAGTACAGAACCGTTTCGGGCTTATTCTACCTTCATCCTGCCAATCATATGTCTGACCACCAGTTCAGGACAGAAACATAAGCGTGCCTTAGCATACGTTAACATCCTATAGATATGTCAACCCCTTGCGCGTGAAGCACCCGCATCTGCTATTGTCCCTGACGATGGGTTCGAGCAGGAATCCAAAACGTCAGGCGAATAAAACCCTTTTCCCAGCGATCATGTCTGCTTCTTCTGAACTGCTTCCTGGAACTCGCCTGTTCGTTTCTATCTTTAAAACAGACAAAGTAACTACGTCAGAGAAACCGGAAGACAGCTCAGAACGCCATTGGCCGAACACGCTGCAGCAGTGCGGAGACATGACGCCAGCTCTCAAGTTGTGACTCTTTCGACGAGTTCCGGCCACACATTCAAATTCGACGAGACCGAAATTCTCGCCAGAGGTGACAACCGCGTGAGCCGAGAGCTGCTTGAGTCGTGGTTTACTGGCTCCCATTCCATTAACAAGTGCAAGGACCTTCCCTTCTATACTCAGTGCTGAGACTTCGCCTAGGCGGAGTAACTAACCACGTGGGGAGCGCACAGGTGAACACTTTTCCCAACGCCAGGGTCGGTGCGTCAGATAGTCGAGCAATCATCACACCAGCATCCAACACCCGTGACGAAATTGCAACAGTTAACGAAGCGAATGTCAGCTAACAAACAGTCATCACACCAAGTGCAATGTTTCTTGATGAAAGGGGTGGAGCCGTGAATATTCGCAGGTATGCAGTAGCATGGTGACTGCATCCTATAAATACTGCAGCCCCTTGTGCATGAACCACTCGTACCTGCTGTCGTCTCCGATGCTGGGTTCGAGCAGGAATCCGAAACGTCAGGTTAATACAGTTCTTGTCTCAGCGAACGTGTCTGCTTCTACAAGCAGTGGACGTGTGACGGCTTATCAACTGGGAATTCGTGCGCACCCCTGCTTGGGTCGTTGTACGTTGGTTGGTGTACATTGTTTACCAGGAGGTTTGGTGATGCGCCTAGGTGCGGATTTTTGCCACGCCAGCCACCTCCGCCCTCTTTCGCCTGCCGTCTTTCGGACACCTGGTCCAGCTGTGAGAGCAGGAGGAGGAGGAGGATGTGAGAGTACGGCAGATACCGCATGAGTCTACTGTTACTTTAAACAACCTGATGCGCAGTCACTGCCCCTGTTCACATTGGGCGGTGAAGCTAGTCGACGTCGACGGCCCAACTGTCGTGTGTGTGTCGTATATGGACTGACTGATTCGAGAACCTGGAGTCAAGCCCAAATATTTCTTCTCAATTTGGCTTCTACGGCATTCCAATTCCCAGGGAATTCGAAGCGCACATTTTTTCCCCGAATAACTTGGAGGTTATGCGGGGAGCATTGTCGGCAGTGTCGGCATCTACGCCTGCACCAAATTCCGGCCTTTCAGTCAATAGTTCGTCGTCGGAACCTTCTGAGTGAATGAGGAGAGTGTGCGGCTGATGCTATATACCGGTGATGCTTCCACTTCATGGGACACGGGTGAACTGTCACTTCTACCGCTGAGCGCGTCATCCATACCATCCATCCAGGTGTTCCATACTTCGGGGTTGGGCATGACTGGCTGACGACGACTAATAAGCCAGAAATGTCCATTCCAGTCTCCCTTGTCTTTGTCGGTAATATACATATACATACATACATATACATATACTACCCTTCGGTGTGTATACGCGAAAGGTCAACAGAATTCAGCAAGTACGATGGTCTCATATGACAGATGACAGTTGCACAGTCAATACTGATCTTGGAATACGGTTCGTGCCTGATAGAAGCAATATCCTCATATAGGAACTTATCAAGTGGTCATGCGCTTGTATAAATGGTCCATTCAAATGCCTTAGTGGCCAGATAGCATAACCTCGATTCTTTTAGCTGCCTTTTTCTGTACACCCCATTAGAACAATAATTTAAGGTGTGACGTAGGTCAAAATCAGTTTGATTTCATTAGATTTGTTAAACTATTTTTGCGTATTTACGAACTACCCTAGCGTATTATTTGCGTCTTCTCTGTTTTCGAGACTTATTCGGTGACAGTAGTGTCTAACAGGTCAGTCTGGAAAGTCCATAGGTCGTATTCAAACCACTTTCAAACTGTGAGTGAGAGCAATGTATGAGAAAACATCCAAGTAATAGGGAGAGTGCTTTAGGTAGGATTTAAGATAAAGAAGACAACCACCCCCACGCCTAGTCGTGTGGGCTTGGCGGTAAAAATCGAAGTCATCTATGAGAAGGGCAGAATCAGGAATTAGAGAATGGTCCCAAGATTCTGTTACACATATAATATCAGGCGTCATTTCCAGAGCAATGGCTCTGATTTGGGCCATCTTGTTTATAACAGACCTGGCATTCAGTAATATAATATCTAATGTGTTTCGAACGGCAATGCTATTTTCGACGGTATTTAAAAAAATTTAGAGGCGGATATGTAAGCTGTGAATTAATGACACTTGGAGAATAAGTACCAGTTAATCTAGAGTTATTGACGTACGGGGAGTCAGCAAGAGGAGGCTGAGTATGAGACCTAAAGGAGGTGGGGATATAGTTTTCAAACATTGGAATGCTAGGGGATTTAGAACATGGATAAACTTGTTGGTAGTTAAATAGTGGAGAAAGGGGAGGAAGAGGGAAGTAGGGGCTAATGGGTGAGGGTAGGCCGCTATAAGAATGAAAGGGTGAGAAACCAGGTCTAGGTTGGAAGTCAAAGGAGATAGGTTGACGTACCTGAGAGCAATTGGCCTTAAGTGGTGGGAAGCCTGAACTAGGTTGGGACATAAATGATTTAGGGCAATTCATGTATGAATTATTTGCTGGATATATAGTAGGGCTTTGATAAGTAACCGGTACGCAGGACAGAGAATTATTCGGGGATATAATTGGAGCTGCGAGGTTTGTAGACGTGCTGGGCTGAACAGACTTGTTAGATCTAAGAGAAGGCGTCGTACCCCCAAATGGAACTGTACTACCTATCTTTTGAGTCGGAGTCTGATTCAATTTTCGAGTCTCACCGTTCTGACGCCAAGCCAGGGGTGACTTAACTGTAGACCTTACAGCACCCAGTTGGACAACAGAAGTTATCGGTCTAGCTGATGTAGACGAATTTTCATGTGTCTCAGCGGGACTATCCGCAGGATACGAAACGACACATGGGGCTGCTGCTGCTGCAAGTTTAGGGGCAGGCAAATGCGTCAAGTGGCTTGAGTGAGATGGAGATGTAGGAGAAAAAGGAAGGAGGGAGTCAGATGTCGCAGGAGTAGGAGAAGCTGAATCCTTACGGCCACTTGTATTATGACGGAGTTGGGGAGCATTAGACTGAGAAGCAGTGGGTTTACGTGAGAATAAAGACCCGATTCTACGCTTCATAGGAGTAAGATCATGACAAAGGAAAAATTTTGCCTTTTCTAGGTACGCAGTGACACGCTCTCGATGTGTTAAGATTGTGTCAACCTCGATTGATGAAAATAATTTGACTAAGATGGGTGGATTTGTGCTACGGGAGGACAAGCGTTTGGCATCGGCTATTTTATAGTTGAAACCACATGAATACAGGAAATTGGTCGCAACATCAATTGGCCGAGCAGATCGAGGAACATTTTTTAGCAGAAAGTTGTAAGAACGCTTCTGCCTACCACTAGATTCACTGGCGATCAGGTGAACAAGTGGGTCGAGACGCCTACATTCCTCAGAGGGAATATCGGAGATGTTCCCGTCGAATAAATGTCCAAGAATTGTCAGCAAAGAGCCAAACTTTAGCATAAAGTCATTGCAGTGGTCAAGTGCAGACAGATCAAGCTGCCGACCAATTACAACGGGTGACGACTGACTAGTAATATCATCTGACTTAGATTTAGGTAAAGCATCTGACTTACGTTTAGTTAGGCCATGTGTACTCACAGAAGCCGAGAGCTTACGTCGACCAGTGACTTTTGGTCTCATCTTGTCTCGAGGCAATTTGTGATTAAGAAAACTTCTGGCAGACAAGTTGACTGAATTTCAGCAAGGGGCTAACGATGTAAAAATAAATTACAACATTTAGAGAGAAATCGGATGAGCAGAATGAGAATTGCAGAGTGCGATTAGTGAACAACCCCTGCCAGCACGTGGCCTTCTCTTGAAAGGGGGCCAAGAAGGGGCTATGAGGGGGCCAGACCCCTCAAAGTTTTATCGTCGTTAATGCACAATTAACAGGCATTACTCCGTGAATAAGCGTGCATTTTTCGGTTATAATTTGTTTTTTTTAATAGCAAAAAGTACTTTTGGACCTCGGTAGTTGTGCTGGTCGGACAATTGTATGTAGCCTGGACTATGCAAGCGAACGGAAGCTCCGTGTCATACGGGATGGATTGGAAGAGGGGGTTTTAAGGGTGGGGAAAATGAGGAACCGAGCAAAGAGTTAAAAAAGTAAGTAAAAAAAGGTTTTGAAAGTTAATAATTAAATTTTTCTGAGGTGAAAAATGTGCCGAAAATTCAAAAAGTAAGCTGTAACCAATAGGAACAAGATACCTAAGGCCAAAGCTATTCCGCTGGAGGTGCCCCAGACGATACTGTCACGGATGATGAATCCTAGTGAAATGCCAACGACAAGCAGGGCGGTGGAAAGTGAACCCGAGCAACGGTAAGTATGAATGCAAAATACGCAGGACGTAGAGGACTGAAGCTGTAATTATTAATTTGTTCAATAATTACCAAACGTTCCCCACTTATAGAACACGGACAGCAAAGAAGAAGCGGAAGGCCGCTCCGCAAGCAAATAATCCGTCGGAGTTTGGACAGATCCTGGATATTATCCAGTCCCCGTATTTAGTGCAATATTTGCAAGCTAAAGGACTGCTGGCTACGAAAGTTAGATGTCGCTGTTGTAAGCCGATGACATTGCGCATATTGCGGCAGCACACGGACGGTTTTGCTTTCAGTGAACGAAAATATTAATATTATGCATTGCGCAGGTGTAACAAATGTGGCACCAAAAGGGCACTGAGAACGGGTTCGGTGTTTAAGGATAGTCGCCTCCCGGAAGCATAATAGTGATTGACGGGTGCAGCGGGAAAAGTTTGTAATTCTTTCATACTCCGCACATAAATAGTGAATTCCTTACTATACCTCTGAACTTTTTGTTCCCGTTTAATCCCATAACCCCAGCCAAAAATGCGCCAACCGAGATTTAATGCGTAATGTTTGAAGGGATTGATGGTAAACCAATGTACACCCTAGCTGGCGGTCTTGACCAATCCAAAGGCTACTTCGTAAGTACGCTAACCGCCAAGCCGATTAATGGTGAACTTAAAACGGGAAAGCCAAACCTACTGGTCGCCGAAAGGCGGCCAAACCGCCCAACCGCACGGACGTACGAAATCGGCCGACGCGCAAAGGGAAAGCGATCGAAGGAGACCGCACAGAGATTCCGAGGCCCGGGCGTACACTTAAGCCCGTGAAAGTGCTAAGCAAAGCCGAAGCCCTATTGTTGGGTAGCCGTTCCAAAGCCAGCTGTGGTGGGGTGAAGGGGCGGGGAAGTGAGCCGTACGGCAGGCAAAGAAAGCAAGCGGCAAGCGGCCTTAGTAGACCACACAGGAAGCCAGCGACCGGGTTTAACGTCTATATGGGTAAGCCACGAAAGGCAAACCTGCGCCGATTAAGTGCACCCAACGCCTACGCGCCTAGCTAACTGGCGCGGTAGCCGCATGGGAGGCCCCCCCAGCGATCAAATACAACCCGGCAGTTTCGTAAAGGCAGGGGGGGATGGAGGGTATTAGCCTGTTAACACGACTGAAGCAGCTTGCAGGTAGAAGCATAATGTAAAGCGTGCTGAATCGCAATCCGCAAAGGTCAAGGATTTCGCCTTTTACTGAAGATTTCCGTGTGGGGGGTGCAATGCGATGTGCCCATATAGATAGTCTTACAGCGCCTCGTTCTCGGGGCGGTTACAGTGAAGGAGAAAGTCATCCTGATAGACCCTGTACGCCAAATAAAGCAAACATAGCTGGAGCAATAACATGAAGGACTTTACCGCATAACCACCCTTCCTTCGCCCAATTGGCAGTTGTAAGTATGAAACCTACTAAAAGCACGCCTACTGATAGAAAGCAAGTACGTCAACAATGTTGACTCATAATCCCAGGCTACACGCATTTGTCTCGTCGTTGTGCTTTTTACATATCTGGGCAATCCTGGTATAAAGCTCTTAATTGTTTAAGTGTGTCACTTTGCGGCACTTATCTCCCACGTGAGCTGCGTTCCTCTCGTCGTGAGGGCTAATACTGTCTACTGCGGTCTACGTGCATACGTTACTGTGGTTTGTAATGAACTGCCCTTTTGCTATCTTTTATGATATTTTGTAAGTTTTGACCTGTAAATTAGTATTATCATTGAATAATTGCCTGTTGATTTAAGCGATATCAATGAGATATCCGTTGTAGCAGAGTCATCTGAAAAGCTGAACTTTGAGCATTTGTTTATCATTTTTGTCATTGAAATCAAGTAGAAATGAAGCGTAAGTATTTTGGAATCAACCGGAACACTGCCTATAAGCGAATCCGGCGCCTGAAGACGGCCTACTATGCCGCAGCAGAGGCTGCCCAACAGGTTAATGTTCCAACGACGTCTACTTTGCCAAGCGACTCTCCTGAATTAGAAATGCCTGAATTAACGGCTGAGGGTTACACTGGTAGGTTTTTCCATCAATGTAGAATATTAGTGGGTGTAGATTTTGCAGGAAGTCAAGAGCATATGACGGAAAAAAGGGGAAAATCTTTTCTATCAGATTTACAAGAATTATGTCTGAACACGCGAATGCCTCTATCTATGATGAAGGCTATGTTCGATACGCTCCGGCCGTACCACCCAGAAGTCCCGAAGGACCCGCGAACGCTCTTGAAGACTCCCAGAACTTGTAGCAACAAGGTCCTAAGCAACAGGAACTATGTCCATCTGGGCATTGAGCGGGCTTTGCTTTATGAGGTAAACCGTCGTCAAACGACTGAAATTCCTGAAATGCGCATCCAATTGCACATTGATGGGATGAGGTTGTTTAAAGGATCGGGTCAATGCCTTTGGCCAATAATAGCGCGAATTAGTCACCCTGTAATTGGTGAACCCTTCGTCGTTGGTGTATTTTCCGGCTTTGGCAAACCCGAACCAGTGGACGGGTTTCTTCATGACTGTGTTTGCGAATTGAAAGGACTTCTTGATGGTGGCCTGCGACTCCCAAGTACAGGGGATATTGTCAAAGTGGAACTAGCCAATATAATTTGCGATGCCCCTGCCCGCTCCTACATCCGGCAAGTCAAGGCACATAACGGATACTATGGATGCGATAGGTAGGTTTGTTCATCTAGCTATCCTAAACCACTCTAGGTGCTGTCATCTTGGAATTCCCATTGCTAAGCGGATGACATTTCCGCCGGATAGTGGGCGTCCTCGGGATGACATGTCCTTCCGGTTGCGAAAGCAGGCCATGCACCATAGGGGCATACCACCATTCGAGGAGTTACCCATCGATATGGTTGCCTGCTTTCCCATGGACTACATGCACCTAGTATGCCTGGGAGTAATGCGTAAATTGCTGCACATGTGGCGCCTCGGGGTGAAGAAGTTTTCTGCGGCGCTCAATGCGCGGATTAAAAAGTGCAGCAATTGTCTACCGACAGAATTTGCTCGGAAGTGCCGAACTCTGGATTGTCTGGAGTATTGGAAGGCGGCCGAATTCCGGCAATTTCTCCTATACATCGGCCCGGCAGCCTTAAATTCATTTCTTGACCAGGAGCGCTATCAGCACTTCCTGAAGCTGTCTGTTGCCGTGTATATATTTTCCCATCCCCGGTTACACATTACGTGCATTGACTTTGCACGCATCTGGTCCACCTTCACGAAGATGTATCGCGGTTCGGAGTGCTAGATAACTTCTCGGCTTTCCGCTTTGAGTCGTTTCTGCAAAACGTCCGCAGTTACATTAAAGGACCGACAAACGTAGCCGCGCAGGTGTACAGGCACATTAGTGAAAGGCGCCTGCCTGAGTTGTCCACAGGTCCCACGCTGTTGGACGACGATGAGGGAGTGCCACGGTCTTTGCAGTTGCCCCGCAGCTCCAAAGCCATGACACAACGGGTATCTTTTGTCGACCCAATCTTTAGACAATGTGGTACTTGTCGGCGATAGACCGTGCGTACTGACATCTGTGTCGGCTACAGGCATAGTTTACCGCCAGTTTGTCGATTGCTAAGACTGCCTGGATCCTGCATTCCCTTCCTCAAATTTACTCATTTTTAAGGCCTCCCTTTTGGATAGTAAACTTTCGAATGCTTCTCTTGATGACATTATTTGTAAATACGTTGCGCTACACCTGGACGGTTGTTTTTTCCTTATTCCCATGTTGCATACTTTTGATATTTGATCCCCCACTTTTTACGTTTTGCATCTCATAGACAATTTTCCGTTTTACATTTTGTGGGCACTACTTAAAGATGTATGCGGTTGTTGAGTTTCTGAATGATAAATCTGTGGTGGCAGTGCCGAAGTGTTGGTTCCACAGCGATAACTGTGTGATGTGGGTTAAGAACCACAAGCTATGACAAACGGTTATCGCAGGTGCAGCACGATGTTGAATGCGTCCGGTAGGTCTGCTCTGACTCTTGATGACATGCGAGTAGAAAGAAAGTTGATTACGTTGCTGAGGAAATCGTCGAACTACGGGCTGATATAACGCAGGTTAAAGCTACAATGGCCGAAATTTTAAAGGTCATTCAGGAATTACGTCAGCTAGCTGACGCGAGGCCGCCTTCACTGTATTTGCCTCTGTGTACGAAGGAGGCTTACAAGGCATTCGTCAGTGAGCTTGAGAACAATGCTGGTTTCGCTCAAGACGCGGTATGTCCATATACTGACACTTCTATTATTTGAATGGATTATAGATTAAACGTCTGGCGATTACTGACGGGCGAAACGAGAAAGAGTTTGTCAGAAATCTATTAACCACTCTACTCGGCCACCCCCTATGCCTCAGTTTCTGCTGGGGTGGAGCAAGAGATAAGCAGGCCTTCGTCGACAGCCCCCTTTATGGCCTTATTATTGGTAGGATATTTATTTTTCCGTTTACTTATTCAGCTGCAATTCGTGAAAACGCCACCTTCTCAAATTGCACCGTTGACACAATTCGCAAGAGCACAGTTGATTGGTTCTACGGTGCGCGTGACAGATACGGTGGCCGATCAAAGCGCAGAGACAATACCACGGCAAATACCACGGTAAATTAATTCACTTGAGTCTTTATAAGCCACTTTCGGCTTCCCGTCAACTACAATTCAGCCGAAGAATATCTGATACATTCTCCTTCCGAGGACACTGTAAGTGTGCAATTCTTTATATCTATTAAACCTGCATATGTTCGAGCCCATCAACTTCAAACTACTTTAGACAATAAATTCTACTACTTAAATGCCTAACTTAAATAGTATATTTTGTGACAATTTAATTAATAGGACGCTCTGCTTTCTTTTATTGTAGATGCCCGCCACAGACATGGACGGATTACCAAATATGTCCCTTGAGGAAACATGACAGTTTGTACATATCAAATTTTTATCTTTTTCGTTCAATAAATTTTCTTCAAGCTATAAATGGCGTTCAAGTGTGCTGATCGATATGGTTCGTTGGGGAGTTCGCAATCACGCGTGAAGGTCCGCTAACGATCGCGGGGGAAATTGGCTTTGGGAAGGGGGGCCGGAATGAAACATGACATATTAGGCGATATGGGGTTCGCAAGAAGGCATCAAGGGATAATATAGGACAGATACCGGGGAAAATCTGTCTAGGAAAAGGGTAATGAGGATTATAACGCGAGTAAGTAGACGTTTAGGGATCCGCATTACCGTCAGACAGTCTAATATGGCCAGGGGTGGGGGCAAAAAATGACTACTATAAGGCGTCCCCCTGCGCATTTTTTTCGATGGGGGGTGGGGGCAGAGGGGGCCACATCGGGGATTTGCCCCACCATAGCCCCCTCTCCAGCCCCCTCATAGTCCCCTCTGGCCCCGCCATAGCCCCCTCATGAGGCGGGGCTATGAGGGGGCCAGAGGGGGCTGGTGCTGGCAGGTACGGGCATATACTAGAAGAACTCAAAAGGAGATGGCAGCAGGCAGTTCTGAGAGAAGAGGCCTGTATTGAAGGAAATTCAACCAAAAACAGGTACTAAAATCGTTAGGTCTTGCAGAAAAACCACTTAAAATAATATCCTCCACTTATCTTCAAATATCAAACCGAAATATGAAACCAAAAGACCCACTGCCACGGCTAGAAACGTCTGGAGTCGTTTATTGGATCTGGTGCAGTTGCGGATAAAGCAACTACGTCGGAGAAACCGGAAGACAGCACCAAACGAGAATGGCCGAACACGCGGCAGCGGTACGCAGAAATGACGCCAGCTCTCAAGTTGCGGCTCATTCGACGAGATCCGGCCGCACATTCACATTCGATGAGACCGAAATTCTAGCAAGAGGTGACAACCGAGTGAGCCGGGAGCTACTGGAATCATGGTTTACCTGTCCCCAGTCCATCAGAAAGTGCGACGATCTTCCTATTCCATACTCCGTGCTAAAACTTCGCCTAGGCGGAGTGACTAGCCATGCGGGGAGCGCAGAGGTGAACACTTTTCCCAACACCGGGGTCGGTGCGTCAGATGGTCGAGCAATCATCGCGCCAACATCCAACGCACGTGATGAAATTGCAGCAATTATCGACTCGAATGTTGGCCATCAAGCAATTATCTCACCAAGTGCGACGATCCCGGATGAAGGGGGGAGCCATGAATGTTCATAGGTATGCGGTAGCATGGCTACTGCATCCTATAAATACCGCAGCCCCTTGTGCAACAACCACCCGTTTCTGCTGTTTTGTCTCTGATGATGGATTCGAGCAGAAATCCGAAACGTCAGGCTAATAAATCTCCTGTCCCGACGATCGTGTCTTCTTCTTCTTCTTCTTCTTCTTCTTCTTCAAGACTACTTCCTGGGACTGGTCTCTTCGCTTCTATTATTATTATTATTATTATTATTATTATTATTATAAAACCTCCAAACATCCAAACAAAATGAATAGGACTGGATTAACACTACAAGAAAAAAACTCTCGCTACTGATTTTATAAAAAGCAGGCACAACCCGTTTGTATGTGGAAGTGTATAACGGATTTCATGAAAGGGTATGTAGGCGGGTCAGGCAGGACTGGCTTGTATGTGGTATTGAGTAAAAGCTTCGAACCGGGCATCATCAGGGCAGAATCCATATGCCGGATGAGGCCAGTCGTGTCAGAGTGGAGAATAGAAAACCATTCTCTAGGCGATAGGAACCCACATGCTATCGGTTACAGTCAGTCGACTCCATCCGAGGATGGGGCAAGGGAGATGCGACCAGACTACTAGTGTATGACGAATACAGAAGGTTCCGCCAGGAGCGTCGATAGAGCGCATTCTGTTAGAGGCACGATTCATGAACTGAAAAATCGAAAAAATTTCTGATTAGGGATTCTAGGAAGCGATACTACACACAAAAGAAGGAAATGTGAGCGGATACGGAAATTTAATGACGGCGTCCTAAATTTCCGGTGGCCATTTCTCGGCGTCATAGAGTAAGTTGTCCGGGAAAATAGGCACTTGCGAGTCAGCCAAAGATTAGCATAACTGTAGCGAGTCATGTTGATACTCACCATAAAACGAGTGAGGTAAGGACCGTCAGACGGATTGTCGTAAATAATTCTATCCTGGTCCAATCTCCTCTTAAAAGTTTCTACAGTCGTGGACATGACGATATCCATTGGCAGACCAATGGAGACTATAACCACTCTCCGATATAAATTTATTTCTACCTGCTTGAACGTGACTCTGAAGGGTTTTAATAAAATTATCTTATTTATTAATCATTTATCATTTATTTACTCTGTTGGAGAAAAAGAACTTCCGTATGTTAAACCTACCACCATTCATAGGCCCGTTGTGGTTGATAATTCAAAAAGTCTTTAGGTACAAGACAGCGATCCTGACACGCATTATGCGGAATGTTTCTATTAGGTCGCCTTTTAGCTGTTTGTAACGCAATGGAAAGAAATCAAGATGGGATAATTTTTTTTCAGGGTAGTTAGTGCTGCTCGGTTATCTGTTCTGTTGCATACCTTTAAACTTACTTGAGGGTCGTAAGGTCATTAACGGCCCGGATTCTTAGGATTGAATTGTGTTGTTGGCAGCCACCATGGCCGGTCTGACGTCATTGTCCAAGGCCTCGCTTACTCAAGGTCATATACCCTTTGCAGATAGCCGTTCCAGACCCGCTGACCTGATGCACTTGACCGACTTCAGCTCAGACATACATGCGTCCTCATAGTCGCAGTTGCTCTTGCGGCCACCTGAATATCCCCCCCCCCTTGAAACCACAAGCTAGGCCAATGGGACACCACCCCTCGGCAAATGCAACACACGCCGATTGAAAAACACCTGAACTTAGCCCATGAGTCTACGAAAGCGGCTGCCAACACTGTCCCTATTACTCTCAGACAAGACCGGGCGCAGTCTACACCAGCCCTGGCTTCGTCAGTGGTTCCTGCCGCTTGAAAGGACTACATCGGGTTCTGTTTACATTGAAACCCTCATTCTGACGCTCTCTGTCTTCTTCTTCCAACATGGTATTTGAAATGATGATTGTAGCACACTGAGTTCAGAATGCCACGGCTTAGTCGCTAGAGTGGCGAATTCGGATTGCGGTCGCAAAAACATCCGCAAGACTTCTCGGAAAGTCTTTATGAAAGGCAGAGGAAATATACTTGACAATGTGTCGGGCAGACACCGTGGAATTGGTTACCTTTGAGTGGTGCACCGATGGTCTAATTAAGGTCGTTGTCCACCCACCTAGATCCTTGTGGACGTCCAATGCTTGCAGTGGTTTGCTCCTTAGATGGCAAGCCCTGCATTTCGGAGATCGGGTTCCGACGGCTCGTAGAATGTTATATTTGCTCACTTTAAACGGCAAAAATCTTTCGCTGATTTGTTGCTCGGGTCGGTTAGTTACGAGCGCAGACGCTCCTCCACGGTTGATGTCGTTGACGCTCCAATCTTGATATCACTAACAAAAATATCCAGTTCATTGATGCAGTCGTCGACATATTTGATTAGCAGGATAGGGTCTGGAACGGAGCCTTGGGGAACACTACTCTCAACAGCAACTTCCATCGACTGCCAGGCACCGACTCGGGCAATATGGAAGCGGCCGATTAGGAAATGATGAATTCATCTCGGAGATTATTCCTGGCACCTACTAGGCCGAGTTTGTGCAGACGTCATCCATGTGCGCTCCACCAAATGCTTCATTAAAGCCCGTATACACTGCATGCATTGCGTCCCCTCCAACAATTGCCCTAGTCCTACGTTCTTAACAGCACAGCAATTTTGTCTCGCAAGATCTGCCTCTACAGAATTTATGTTCGGCGCCAGACAGCACACTTTGTTGCCTTGTGGAACGCACTGACCTTCACTTACTTATTTTTTCGTACCTTTTAAACATTTAGGAGTGAGGCTGACGACTCTATAGCTGTTTGCGGAGACCGTTGCGCCGCCTTCATGTAGCGGCGAAATCCGTGCAGATTTCCAATGGTTATGATTAAATATTCTTTTGGTCGCAAGTTTACGCCCATACGTGCCTCTTTCATCATTGAATTCTGGCCTGATCTTTTAGAATCTTATCTTGACTCCGCGTCCTGAGCGTGGTATCACACCGCCCCCAATTTAAATTTCCCTTTCCACCTCCATTCATAAGTCTACGATATACTCCCTCCAGGAAGCAGCTGGACTTCCTACTGCCCCAGTCCCTTTGCATATTTTAATTCGATTTTAATCAATAAGTCCTTAAACATGCTAATTCTTTTATAACAAGTTTTTCGAAATATGTGTTTAAATTATTCAATAACTATTGTCTAATTGTCCTTTGGCTGGTGGCGACTTTTCCATTGTCGTTGGTGTATCGCGTACTTCTCTTGTCCGTCATGGTTCTGTGCGGTAGTGCGGATGATTGTCGGGCTCCCACCGAAGAAGAGAAACAACTCTTACTTCCGCCTCTTACTGCACATCTAGAAGGGCACCTTGGGACATCTCCTCATGGCGTCGAAATTGTTCAAATTCGTACTCAGACCGTCGCTGGAACCAATTATTTCCTGAAGGTTTGTCCTCATTTGTTGTCAGAGCTTCCAGGTTCAACATTCGGACGGTAAGATCTGC